CATCTGCTTTTGTTGCACCTCCAGCAGGAGTTCTGGCAGGGTTGCATCTGCTTTGTTGCACCTGCAGCAGGAACTACGGGCAGGGTGCATCGCTCTTGTTGTCCCCTCCAGCAGGAGTTCTGGCGGGGCGCATCGCTTTTGTTGTCACTGCAGCAGAGTCTACGGGCAGGGTTGCATCTGCTTTTTTGTCCCCCTGCCAGGAGTTACTGCAGGGCTGCATTCTCTTATTGTCACCTACAGCAGGAGTCTACTGCAGGGGCATTGCTCTTGTTGTCCCCCCACAGGAGTCTGCTGACAGGGTTTGCATCTGCTCTTGTTTCACCTCCCGGGATCGCGGGCAGGCTGCACTGATCTGTCTTGTTGTCACATCCCTAGTTGAGAATCATAGGGCCTGTAGCCATGGTGTCCCGTAGAGCATCGCTAGCGCACTAAAACCTCACACACTGAGGTCCGGGTTTCGAATCCCCCGGTACGGCGGAAAACATTGGTATGAGAATTAACCTGTGCGTCTACACTACAAACTGATGGCACTAAAGATAACTTATAACACTGAGCGTGACTCTGATTATTATCGATTTTCTATCATTATTGAAGATTCTCATTAGATACAGAATAGAAGAAACGTTGCAGCGCAACTTACCTTTACTCCCGGCAGCGGGACTTGACCTTCACTCCCGTGCAGCTGCCACTTTACCTTTACTCTCCGTGCAGCTGCCACTTTTACCTTCCTCTCCTGCAGCTGCGAAATTGACCTTTACTCTCCTCAGCTGCACCGTGACCTTCACTCTTCGTGCACCTGCACACGGACCTTCACTCTCCGTGCAGCTGCACACGTGACCTTCACTCTCCGTGCAGCTGCACACTTGACCTTCACTCTCCGTGCAGCTGCACACGTGACCTTCACTCTCCGTGCAGCTGCACAAATTGACCTTCACTCTCCGTGCGCTGCACAGTGAGCTTCACTCTCCCTGCAGCCACACTGACCTTTACCCCCGTCGCGCACACTTTGCCATCACTCTCCCTGAGCGCACACGTGACCTTCCCTCCCTGCAGCTACACACTTTTCCTTCACTCTCCCTGCAGCTGCACACTTGACCTCATCTCCGTGCAGCTGCAACTTGACCTTACTCCCGTCAGTGACATTGACCTTTTACTCTCCGTCAGCACACATTGCCTTTACTCCCCCGTCAGCTGCACACTTGACCTTCACTCTCCGTGCAGCTGCACACTTGACCTTCACTCTCCGTGCAGCTGCACACTTGACCTTCACTCTCCGTGCAGCTGCACACTTGACCTTCACTCTCCGTGCAGCTGCACACTTGACCTTCACTCTCCGTGCAGCTGCACACTTGACCTTCACTCTCCGCGGGCCTGCACATTTGACCTTCACCTCCGTGCAGCTGCACACTTGAACCCCACCCTCCGTGCAGCGCACACTTGACCTTCGCTCCCGTCAGCGACACTTGACCTTCACTCTCCGTGCAGTGCCCCCCTTGACCCTTCATTCCTGCACTGCCACTTGACCTTCACTCTCCGTGCAGCTGCACACTTTACCCCCCACTCTCCTGCAGCTGCACACTTGACCTTTACTCCCGTGCAGCGCACACTTGACCTCACTCTCCGTGCAGCTGCACACTTTGACCTTCACTCTGTGCACTGCACACTTACCTTTCACCTCCGGCAGCTCACACTTGACCTTCACTCCCGTCAGTGCACACTTGACCTTCACTCTCCCTCAGCTGCACCTTGACCTTCCCTCCCGTGCAGCTCAACGTGACCTTCACTCCCGTGAGCTGCACACTTTACCTTTTCTCCTTGCAGCTGCACACTTGACCTTCACTCCCCCCTGCAGTGCACACTTGACCTTCCTTCCCTGCAGCTGCACATTACCTTCACTCTCCGTGCACTGCACATTTTCCTTCACTCTCCCTCGCTGCACACTTGACCTTCACTCTCCGTGCAGCTGCACACTTGACCTTCACTCTCCGTGCAGCCGCACACTTGACCTTCACTCTCCGTGCAGCTGCACACTTGACCTTCACTCTCCGTGCAGTGCGCACTTGCCTCATCTCCGTCACTGCAAACTTGACCTTCACTCTTTCCCTGCAGCTGCACATTGACCTTCACTTCCGTGCAGCTGCACACTTGACCCTTCCTCCCTTCAGCTGCACATTGACCTTCACTCCCCTGCAGCTCACCTTGACCTTCACTATCCCCTGCAGCTGCACACTTGACCTTCACCTCCTGCGCTGCCATTTGAAACCCTTCACCTCCGTGCAGTGCACACTTGACCTTTACTCCCGTGCGCGCGCACTTGACTTCACTCCCGTGCACTGCCCCCAATTGACCCTTTACTCTCCTGCAGGCCCCACTTGACCTTTACTTCCGTGCAGCGCACACTTGACCTTCACCCCTTGCAGCTGCACACTTGACCTTCACTCCCCCTGCAGCTGCACCTTGACCTTCGTCTCCGTGCAGCTGCACACTTGACCTTCACTCTCCGCGCAGCTGCACACTTGACCTTCACTCTCCGTGCAGCTGCACACTTGACCTTCACTCTCCCTGCGCGCACACTTGACTTCACTCTCCGTGCGTGCACACTTGACCCTTTCCCCTCCGGCAGCAACACACTTGACCTTCACTCTCCCTGCAGCTGCACACCCGACCCTTTTCTCTCCCTGCAGCTGTACAAATTGACCTTCACTCTCCGGGAGCTGACATTTGACCTTCCCCTCCCGGGGCTCACACTTGACCTTCACTCTCCCTGGGGTGGCCCCCACTTTCCTCACTCTCCGTGCAGTGCACACTTGACCTTCATCTCCGGCAGCGAAAACTTGACCTTCACTCTCGGCAGCTGCACACTTACCTCCTCTTCGTGCAGCTGCACACTTGACCTTCCTCTCCGTCACGAACCCTTTACCTTCACTCTCCGTGAGCTGCACACTTGACCTTCACTCTCCATACAGCTGCACACCTGAACCTCACTCTCCGCCATCTAGTCACATGCCAAACATTCCAAGAATCTAGCCCTGTTACCGTACACCACGCCAAGAAAGAGTCGCGGTGTTGCAGGGAACCTCGAGTCACCGGAGATGTAAAAACGAGAAAGTTGCAGCAGCAAGAAGAATAAATTAATAAGAAAAAAAAAAGATATGAAGTTATAAATCTCGAAAATTTTGAAAATCGAATTTTTTTACTATCACCATCACACACACATACACACACAAACACACACAACACACACACACACACACACACACACACACACAAACCCCACACACATGAAGCACTAAACTACAGACCAGTGTCACTGAATGTATAGTAATGATAGTCTCGGAAAATTTTGAGAAGAATTCTGAACACCATAAACAATACACACAACACAGCCAACATCAGGGACGGAAAATCCTTCCACAAACACACGCATCATCACATTCACACAAACATGAAAGAAGATAGCAGAGCAGGGTGTGATTTGCATTTGTATGATGCAAAAGCTTTGGACAAGTTACACAAGAGATGGTGGAACAAACTGAGGAAAGGAAGATCACAAAAGGGCCAACATGGTTTCAGGGAATACTTGTTCAGAAGACCACGGAGTTCTAGGACGTGGCGAGCAGTAGAGGAGGAGGGGACCAGCGGGGGTGACAGGGACTGCAGACTTTGGACACAGTTTCTAGGATTTATGCAACGAATGACAAGGAATAGACCGCGATCAGAAGGCACTACAATGATCAGGAAGTTGTCAGAGAAGAATCACTCGATCGATAGGACCAGGCAGATGACATTAAGGGACTGGACAGGCTGCAGTCCTGAGTCCAGCAATTGGCTCCTGGAGTTCAATCCGACCAAGTGCAAAGTCATGAAGATTGGGGAAGGGCAAAGAAGACCGCGGACGAAGTTCAGTCTAGGGGGCCAGAGACTACAAACCTCACTCAAGGAAAAAGATCTTGGGGTGAGTATAACACCAGGCACATCTCCTGAAGCGCACATCAACCAAATAACGGCTGCAGCATATGGGCGCCTAGCAAACCTCAGAACAGCATTCCGACATCTTAATAAGGAATCGTTCAGGACCCTGTACACCGTGTACGTTAGGCCCATATTGGAGTATGCGGCAACAGTTTGGAACCCACACCTAGCCAAGCATGTAAAGAAACTAGAGAAAGTGCAAAGGTTTGCAGCAAGACTAGTCCCAGAGCTAAGAGGTATGTCCTACGAGGAGAGGTTAAGGGAAATCAACCTGACGACACTGGAGGACAGAAAAGATAGGGGGGACATGGTAACGACATACAAAATACTGAGAGGAATTGACAAGGTGGACAAAGACAGGATGTTCCAGAGATTGGACACAGCAACAAGGGGACACAGTTGGAAGTTGAAGACACAGATGAATCATAGGGATGTTAGGAAGTATTTCTTCAGCCACAGAGTAGTCAGTAAGTGGAATAGTTTAGGAAGAGATGTAGTGGAGGCAGGATCCATACATAGCTTTAAGCAGAGGTATGATAAAGCTCATGGTTCAGGGAGAGTGACCTAGTAGCGACCAGTGAAGAGGCGGGGCCAGGAGCTTGGCTCGACCCCTGAAACCCTCAACTAGGTGAGTAAAACTAGGTGAACAACTAGGTGAGTCAGACCCATGTTTTATAACTATTTTTTCTTAAAAAATTTAGAATATATTATTATATAAATATATATATATATATATATTTATATTATTATAATATTATATATTATTATAATATTAATATAGGCATATAAAACTTTCGGGCCCCCACAGATTCAGTGTTTCTCAAACAGCGCTTTTTTAGTAACTTTCACACGCCGGAAAACCCCCAAGGGTATTTTTGGGCGTGGGAGTGTTACTGAAGGTAGGTAATTGTCGTCCTTGCGGGGAGTGTTAGAAGGTAGGTAACTTGTCGCCCTTGAGTGGGAGGTTCTGAAGGTAGGTAACTTGTCGTCCTTGACGTGGGAGTGTTACTGAAGGTAGGTAACTTGTCATTCTTGGCGTGGGAGTGTTACTGAAGGTAGAACAACCCGGCCATCTGGACGGTGCCTCGTGACCATAATAATTTAATAATAATAAAATAATAATAATAATAATAATAATAATAATACCAAATAATAATATTAATAATTAAATCTTTAAATATTGACACACACACACATACATGCACATACACACACACACACATACACACACACACACACACACACACACACACACACACAAACACACCACACACAACACACATACACATGCACACATACATGCACACACACACACCACACACACACACACACACAACACACACACACACACAAAACACACACATACACAAAACACACACTGCATGGCAGCAACAGTCTCATTGCTCACATGTTTCTTGCAGATTGGATGGCGTCCCAACAGTGTTGAAGATCTGGATGGACCATATCCACATGGTTCCTCACAGAGGTAAGAGGCCCCATGTGTGTGTGTGTGAGTGTGTGTGTGTGTGTGTGTGTGTGTGTGTGTGTGTGTGTGTGTGTGTGGTGTGTGGGGTGTGTGTATGTGGTGTGTGTGTGTGTGTGTGTGTGTGTGTGTGTTGTGTGTGTGCATGTGTGTGTGTGTGTGTGGTGTGTGTGGTGTGTGTGTGTTGTCAATAAATGAAGCTGCTATATATATATATAATCATTTACCAAATTGTGGCAGGCCAGGACTCGACCCTACGAACCTATACCCCTCCAGAGACAGCACAATGTACGCATCGCCTTACCACTTGAGTCAGCGATCCTACAAGAAACACTCATGCAGCTGACCTACATGTTTTTGTCGTGATCCGAGGACATTCGAGGCAGTGGTATCTCGAGTGCCACGAGTGTCCTCGGATCACGACAAAAAAATGTGGTCAGCTGCATGAGTGATTCTTGTAGGGTCGCTGACTCAAGTGGTAAGGCGATGCGTACATTCTGGTCTCTGGAGGCGGTATAAGGTTCGTAGGGTCGAGTCCTGGCCTGCCACAGTTTGGTAAATGATATATATATATTTATATATATATTATTATATATATATATTATATATATATATATATTATATATATATATATAATATATATATATATATACGACTCTAATATACAACCATGTATTACACGTATACATATATTCCAAATTTAAATCATTGTTATTTATTACAGGTAAATCTACGACCATACCGTTCATACCAGTGAAGGAACTGTTCACTTCTCACTTCTACCTCACCTACGAAGGTTCCCTCACAGAGCCGCCTTGTGAGGAGACAGTCACCTGGGTTATACTCAATAAACCTGGCTATATCACTGCCGATCAGGTGAGCATGGTGTGGGTGGTAGTCACACCATACCCATGGTGTGGGTGGTAGTCACACCATACCCATGGTGTGGGTGGTAGTCACACCATGCCCATGGTGTGGGTGGTAGTCACACCATACCCATGGTGTGGGTGGTAGTCACACCATACCCATGGTGTGGGTGGTAGTCACACCATACCCATGGGTGGGTGGTAGTCACACCATACCCATGGTGTGGGTGGTAGTCACACCATACCCATGGTGTGGGTGGTAGTCACACCATACCCATGGTGTGGGTGGTAGTCACACCATACCCATGGTGTGGGTGGTAGTCACACCATACCCATGGTGTGGGTGGTAGTCACACCATACCCATGGTGTGGGTGGTAGTCACACCATACCTATGGTGTGGGTGGTAGTCACACCATACCTATGGTGTGGGTGGTAGTGATACCATACCCACGGTATGGGTGGTAGACACACCATACCCATGGTATGGGTGGTAGTCAAACCATACCCACGGTATTGGTGGTAATCACATGATACCCACGATATTGGTGGCAGTCACACCATACCCACGGTATGGGTGGTAGTCCAAAGATTATAGAGGTACATAATGGGTCAAGGAACTTGGCCCCAAAGTTCAAAAAACTGAACAAATTAAAGTGGTAATCCACTATTTACATGTATATACCCGGTCACAGTCGTAATGAGTATTTTACGTAGACAGGAATTAGGTCACAATAACATTAGAATAGCGTATACCTGGCTGTAAATTATTCACATTCCCTTATGTTCTAGCAAGCTATCCTTGAATTTAAATATATTTGCATAGTTGCCAGTTATTTATAACTGTCAATGTCAGTTTCGTTTTGCAGAGTGGTTGGTAATATGTCAAGTGTGGATAAAATACTCTGACGTTGGGTGACAGTAGTCAGTCTGGCAAAGGTTGCAGTTATGTTTACATCAGCCGGAGCATGGCGGTAGTGGCACCCAAGACTCTGCTGGGTTCCCTGGATGCATTCTATCCTGCGGCTCCTCCTGCATGATAGAATGATAGATGGACTGACTGGTGCCACTCTCCCTCGATTTCTAGTTAATTAAGCTTAACCGGAACTTTTCGTATTAGTGTCGTCAGACAAGTGATGACAGCCGTAGATTGCAATCTTGGGCTGTCATCTGTGATGATAAATTGGCCTTTGAAAATTAATCATTCTTTCAGGCATTTAAAGACCACTCAATTTAAATTCTTTTAAGCGGTTAACAACCAGATTGTTACTGCTGGCCGCACACAGTCCAATGTACCAATCATAACCCAGCTAGCCAGGTACTGATTTTAGGTATCTATCCATTTATCTAACCTTTAGATACCTATCCATTACTCATTGTGTCAGTAAGTAAAACCAGAGTAATATCAGAGTAAAATTAGAGAATAATATCTTTTAAAATTACAAGAGTAATATCAGTAATATCAGAAAACAAATGTGACATGCATCCACAGTACTCTGACTCCACTCTCTACAAAGGTATCATACCTGTGTCTGGTTTCTGACACAAACATTCCACAAATGACATTCAAGGAGTCGAAAAACATTTATGGGTGATGAGGAAGCGAACCCAGTTAAGGTGTCGACCTCGGATACGTGGACGTGAGTGAGGGAAGTAGAGGGAACAGCTGAGGGTGGAGGGTAGAAGACTATAGTTATTGATGCGTGCTCTAATCTCTACACAGGACCCATCACTCTGACATCAATGGCACTACCAGCTGCACCAGTGGATTGGTGAGCAGAGCCATCAATGTACATAATTCACTTAGGCATCAACTTAAAACTTTAAGACGAAGTTTAGAGTGTGATTTAGGATTTTTTTAAGGAGTATTTAAGGGACAATGGTTTTGGAATGAGGTAGCAGTAATGTAAAGTTAATGGACACAGATGCAGCTAGTGTGGTAACGTTTCGCTCTCCAGGAGCGAAACGTTGCGGCAATAAAATGTGACATTAGTTGCAGCTGTGTCCATTTATCTAACATTGTGCAATAATATCGAACAAGTGATACAATACCCAAAGCAACCACGGGAGGAGTTGAATGATAGCTCTAGGCTTTTCATGTTGCAATCAACACATCAAGGGCTTGCAATGTTGCAAGCTCTTGTGTTGCTCGAATGAGTAAAAAACGTGACTCAAGAAATCGTAATGACACGATTGCAAATAAACCATACCCCCGGCCGGGATTGAACCCGCGGTCATAGAGTCTCAAAACTCCAGCCCGTCGCGTTAGCCACTAGACCAGCTAGCCACAATAGTTGGATGAATCTTATTGTGGCTAGCTGGTCTAGTGGCTAACGCGACGGGCTGGAGTTTTGAGACTCTCTGACCGCGGGTTCAATCCCGGCCGGGGGTATGGTTTAGTAAAAAACGTTCCCCTGAACGAATTTGCTTGGACTTCCTCTTCTTTTCTGCAACACTGCAAGCTCCTGATGATGTGTTGATTGCAACACGAAAGGCCTAGAGCTATCATTTAACTCCCCCCCCCCGTGATTGTTTAACCTAACAGTGAACGAGGTAGTACCCCAGGAGTGTTGCTGCTGCCTTCCTTGACATAGACCGTCACTACGGGGAGACACAGAGAACAATGTGACACAGCAGAGTTGGTCACAATGTGACACAGCAGAATTGGTCACAATGAAACAAAATACGATAATTTTCTGAAAATATCGCTCACCTCTCAGTATAGAGTCCGGGTAATGATCACACCCACCTGCAGGGCACAACCACATACCACAATACCATACAACAGAGACGTAATGTACCACACAATACAGTGCCATTAAACGACCACAATACAGCTTACAATTCAACTACCCTCGGGTATACAATACATAGCCTCGTTACTCAGAAATTCAGCAATTATACCCGATCGAAAGATCAAAAATAATGTATCTGGTTTTCAAGAGAAATATAATGAATTTTGATTCTGAGTTGACTATTTTGACCTGACTATTGATAACTGTCATGAACAACACTGTCAAGGTGTTAGTCAGATGTCTAGAGTTAGAGTTACACTTACGAATTTTGGGTGGGCTAATAACTGGTATTAAATGTATATTCTGTCTGTCTGTCTGTTTGTCTCGCTCTCTCTCTCTCTCTCTCTCTCTCTCTCTCTCTCTCTCTCTCTCTCTCTCTCTCTCTCTGTCTCTCTCTCTATCTCTCTCTCTCTGTCTCACACACACACACACACACACACACACACAACACACACAACACACACACACACACACACACACAACACACACACAAACACACACACAACACACACACACAACACACACACACAACACACACACACAACACACACACACAACACACACACACACAACACACACACACAAAAACACACACACAACACACACACACAACACACACACAACACACACACAACACACACACACAACACCAACACACACAACACACAACAACACACACACAAACACACACACAACACACACACAAAAGGTTGTTAGAAATATAACAATATTTACACTGGTGTCCCCCCACCAGAGTGGGAACGAAGACTGAGATAAAGGGAATCAAGGGTCAAGGGTCAGGGGTCAGGGACTGGAGGTTAGGGAGGCTGGAGGTTCAGGGCGGGGGCTGGGGGTGGAGGTCACACAAAACGACCTTAACACCACA